TTGTTCTTTCAAGCTTCTCATGAAGATAAAATGCATTTACGATCAAGGAAGGAATGTTGTCAGCCCAATATTACCATAACAATAATAGTCATAAAAACAACAATATTTTTAAATAATAATCATAATTATATCCCATGGAAATTAACTACTTATTTACCTACACAGCTATCTAGCGGGCAGGGTATTAAATTATCCCAATCTCATCATCTCCCTTTGTGATGCAGCTTTAAGGTACACCATGAAGCAGAAAAGGACCATTTCTTCACGAGTCCGAACATTGGTCCATTTAGTTTAGTATTGCCTACACTGATTGTCAGCGGGTCTCCAGAGTTTCAGGCAGGAGACACTCCCAGCCTAACTTGGATATGTCAGGGATTAAAAATGGAACCTTCTGCATCCACAGCAAATGTTCTACCACCAAGCTGTAGCCCTTATCCAGACACTGTTCTGTCACCAGTTTTGAAATTAGCTTCAGCAGTCAGTCCAGTAAGCTTCTGTATGTGGAATGGGATGTGTGTGGATTCTCACCCTTTGCCTCAGACAGCAGAATGTCTTGGGTCAGCCCTGGATGCAGTGCAAGAGTGCAAAGGGTTAAGCATTTGCCGAGGATTAGACTCTACAAGTACACTTGTAGAGTGGAGTTGGGGGAATCTGTGACTGCCCAGATGTTGTTGGACTCCATCTCCTATCAGCCCCAGCCAGCATGGCCAATGATCAAGGATGTTGGGACTTGTAGTTCAACAAATCTTGGGGGCCGTAGGTTATCCACTCCTGCTGTAGATGAAGTAATGGCTTGTACTTTTGACTTTCTTTTGCTCTTTTAACAGGCTATGTTGGCACTCCAGTGGAGAAGGGATTGCCCTTTAAAGATCAAGCACATGACAAACACATTTTGAAACATGTGCCACAATAATGATGGGGAGGAGCATTCTCCAGCAGGTGCCTCTGATAGTTAACTAGCCACATTACATAGCACTAGCGGAGGGAAGAACTGCCTTTCCCCAGCAACAATTATGTGCAACTAGAGAACAGAGGGGAAAGGATGGAGCTTCAATGGAAGTGTAACCTGGATGGAAGATGTCTCTAGGCCCAACAATCAAAGGATACAATGGGCACAGTCATCCCCCCCCATAGTTGCCTGCAGGGGTGCCAACTTGAATAAAATATTGGGGGAGCCCACGTAAGCCCTCCCCTGCCATGGTGTACACACACCATTTGAATGGCAATGCTCATCAACACTGGGGCCTCCTGGCCCCCTCAAATATTTTATTGGGGGGGGGGCAAAGACACTGCAGCCCCTAAGAGGAGGCTCCTGTATTTTTCTCATGAAGCAGGATGGATTGAATGTAGGGAGCTGCCTAACAGTAGAAAGAGACAAGACAAGCAGAGGAGTAACAGGAGACAAGCTGGGATATATAGTCTGGGATGGAGAGGCAAAGTACTTCAAAAGTACTGTCAGGGGTCAATATGCCCAGGGATATTGCCCAGGGATCTCCTACTTCAGATTCCTTCTGGTGGATCCTTAACTCTTCAGACAGTGAAAGACCCTTCTCATCTCAGCATCCCCTTCGCAGATGCTGCATCTGTTGGTCCTCTTCTCTTGGTTCCCCCAACTTTGTCCTGAGGCTGGAGCCTCATTCTTTCCTCCCAACCTGTCTCATCTTCTCTCCCAGCTGTTTCTCTCTTTCTTCTGCTCCAGCAGCTTCTCCAGCAGCTGAGGTTTTCCCTCTGTGGAATCCACTTATCTCCTTTCCCCCACTTTTTTTGTGGTCAGCACAATCTCTTCCTCCCTTCTGTTTCCTAGCCCACTTGTGCTGCTGCTGCTGCTGTACTCTCCTGTCCCCAACGGCCACCATTTATGGAGCTGTGGGGTGCCTACCCCACTGCAGCAATGCATATCTAGCTGAGCCATGTCTACACCTGGCTGGACTAAAAGAAAGATGCCACAAATTCTGATAAGAAGTGCCCATGCTTGGGTCCTCACAATACAGCCAAGACACTTGGACTGACTCAAGAAAATGACTGCAAACAAAACAGTGCAGAGACTTACACTGCAATACAGTGGTACCTTGGTACTCGAACGGCTTGGCGCCCGAACAAACCCACACGCCACAAACCCGGAAGTAAGTGTACTGGTTTGCGAATGTTTTGGGGAAGCTGAACGTCCAACACAGCTTCTACTTGAGTGCAGGAAGCTCCTGCAGCCAATCAGAAGCCACACCTTGGTTTTTGAATGGTTTTGGGAGTCAAATGGACTCCTGGAATGGATAAAATTCGAGAACCAAGGTACCACTGTAGTATCTCCATTGGGAATGAATACAGTGGAGCTTAATTCTGAGTAAGCTTATGTAGCATTGCCCTGTTAAAGATGTGGTTGACATAATCATAGTGATGAGAGATGGAATTAAGTTTAGGGGGGCGGAATCTAAACTGACTGGAAACAGGCGAGATTATAGCAGGAGGCACTAGCAGGGTACAGTGGTCTAGATGATGTACAGACAAAGTTTTGGCAGTAGTTATCAAAAGGAAATAAGAGATCTTGGAGATGCAAAATATTTTTGACTAGGGCCTGAAGGCAAAAGGTAAAGAAAATGCAAGAATCAAAGGGGGTCAAGCACTATGGTCCAGACCCTTTTCAGAATATGAAGGTTAGCATGTAATTGTCCTGACTTTTCATTTGAAATCTGGGAGGAAAGAGGAGGGCAGAGGAACCATTAAGGAAAAATAAGATAGCAGTTATATGAAGATGTCCATGGAGATCAGACTAACGGGGTCTTATTTTCCCTCCCCACTTAAGCAATATCTCACTTTTGCATCAATTTTCTAAAATAGAAGTTTTGCACCGCCATAATCTAGCATGGACATCTTTGAATTCTCCATGAAATGATATAGCAAATCAGGTGTGGTTTTAAAGGTACTATGCAGATTGATATCACTATGGAGAAATAGTATTTTCCCCTAAGAATGTAATGGTTTTAAAAAACAACAACTTAACAGCGGCTTTTCTTGTCTACAAATTTTGCACATGCTAAATAACTCCCCCTGTTGGCCAGAGCAGATAATTCCTCCCGGATAATATTCTGTTCTTTCTCAGCCAATGCAGCTTGAGGGGTGGGGCATTAGTTTGCAGCCTCCCCCGCTGATGTGTTGTGGTTTTGGTGGAATTTAAACAGTCACCTGTACAGTGATAGAAAGGCATGTACATTTTCTGCACTCTGTATTGCTGTCATGTGGCTACCAGTCACTCACTACAAAGTCATGATCTCATCAGCTATTCCATCATTTAGGACACTTTGTCAAATCTTTTTCGCAGAGAAGCCAACCATCAGAAATAAAAATCAGTGTGTCAGAACCCATATCTGCCTGCTCCTTGTCTCAGTATAGCTTGTTGCTTTCGTGTCACAAATGTTAGATGGTTTCGCTGAAAGTCCTCCTACTCCTCCCCCCCTCTGAAATTTCAATGTATTGGCATTGAAGATCCACCAGAAAGAAACAGTTTTCTTACCCTTTGTCCTTTGTTGACCTTACAGGTGTCAGCAAAACTGGAACTATTGACAGGATGAGATTCAAATGGGTCAAAAAGGAAAGGGACCACTGAGAATAAGCTGAACAACCCTGAGTAAAACGCAAGGATAAGGAAATATTTCCAGATTCATACGAAACATTTCCATCATTCTGGACACAACTGTTGGGTTCCTGGTGTATCTCCTTAAAAGCATCCTCTGCTAGAGGTTAACCTCCAGGAGAGTTTTCCTGGAACTTGCCTGATCATTATGTTATTTTGATTAATTGCGTGATTTGTCAAAATTTGTCCCCCACAGGAACAAGACCATTAACAAGTACCTTTCTGGGTGGCGTATCTTGTATATTTATTTGCTCCTAAGACGATGCATCTGTTGCTTTAACGTCCTTTGTTGTCTGAATATATTTCACTCTTCTGTCACAGCGTGTCAACTCTAACCTTTCCTTTTGCTCTCGCAGCATCGCCCCACTCTTTTTTAAAAGAAAAAAAAGTGCCTGTTTGACACTTTCGTCTGAAACAGCCGCGACAACTCTTGGCATAATAAACTGGCTTTGGGAAAAAATTAAAATTAATAAATCCATTACCCAGAAAGGGCATTTAAAAACTTGGGGGTTCTGTTGTCATTCTCTCAACTCAACATTTCCCAGTACAACTTCTGCTAAATTAACACAAACATTAAAATTCAGACACCAGTTTGGAGGAGGAAGGAGGTAAACCAGGTTTTTATTTCTGAGCAAGAAAACCTTAGATTTGAGCCTATTTCCTCCACCCCCTCCTCTGCCACCTTAATCTCCACGATGCCAGGAAATCTTTACTTACAGATATCTTCCTTTCAGTTTGAATATTCCCCTCTTTTGAAGAGGGTGGGTGGAATTAAAGAAGAGAAAATCGGTTTGCCACTTTTTGTCACGCTACTGGGTGACAATCGGGTTGGCCTAATAAAGGCATTGCCCTAATATGGATTTTGGAATTGCGGCTTTATGTTAAAGGTACATTCTTCTTCCCTATTATAACAGCATTTCCACAATCTCATATGTGGGATAAAAGCGGGGTGTGGGGGGAAGAGAGAGAGAAGGCATGATACGTGTGGAGAGGAGCAGTGCCTTCGCCACCCAGAGAAAGAAGAGCTAAAAGGATTATAAAAGTTTAGATTAAAATGATATAAAATCTAGCATTTGGCTCCAACACTAGTGCCTTGGTCCTCTGTAGCTAATCTGTATGCACCCTGTGACCTCCTCGCAGCGAACCCTGCTAAATATATTATTCCCACGGGGGCTTTCACTGCTGCTTGGTGTCAGAAATCAATATGTATGAGGCGCGTGGATGGGAATTTCTAATAGATCTTGCCTGGCCCTGTGCTGCTTTTCAATATCTGCCTTGGACTATTAGTGCCGGCTCGGTGCCTGTGAAATAACCGAGATAATCTTTTAAGGTGCGCTGTTAAGGTGGAACCTAAATGTTGCTGTTTCAATTATCCCTACACACACACACACACACACACACACACACACACACACAGCAATTATATAAATCAGCTAACGTTGGACGCGTGTGTGTGTGTGTGTGTGTGTGTGTGTGTAGCCCCTGATTATAAAAAACAACAGCGCTGGGGCTTAGCGTTTTAAAGGCAGCATTGTCTGCTTCGGTTTCCTGGGAAGGGGTGCTGGTGCTGGGGGATGGAGATGTATTTTAGGTTTTTTTGGTTGCGTTTTTAATTCTTAAAGTTGGGGGAGGGGAGAAATCAGACCTTAATGAAGGTGTAACTGTAATGAAGGGAAATGCCTTCCTCTGGAATCATAAAGGAAGCTGGGTGGGGGGAGGGGAAAGAAATCTCTGTCCCAAATCCTGTATGTCGGGGGTGGGGGTGGTGTATAACCGGGAAGAGGGACAGCAAGATTGCCTTAATGCCCTAGATAATTCATCCATTTTACCTGGGAGCTGTGATTTTGCAGGGCTGTCCTTAAAAAAAAAAAAAAAAAAAAGTTGACTTTAATTTATGCACACTAAAATGATTGCCTGTGTGTGTGTGCGCGTGGCCCCCCCACCCCACTCTCTGTCTCTGGAAGGTGGCGATGGAGGAGGGATTGATAACCACCCAAATTAATTTTTTATCATTATTATACCATTATGTCGTGTCATCATTTATATCCTCCTATCTGCCTGGCTTCCCTGAGTGGGCAGGAGAGAGACAGAGAGAAACAGGGTCATTAACGCGCCGCCCCCCCCCCCGCCCTGCCCCCGGTAGACGGGGGCGCGCGCGCACACACACACACACACACAGGCGAATCTGCTTCTTTTTTCTTCTCCTTTTCCTTCTGGTTTTTTTTTTTTTAAACCACCATTCAGCCCATAGCGCCGCGACGCTCAGGTCTAAAAGCCCTGTGTACACAGAGAGCGGTGCTTCGTGCTCTTTCATTTCCCCCTCCTCCCTCCCTCTCGCTCCTTCTCCTCACTCTTTGTTTTCAGTTCAATGCGCAGAGGAAGCTGTTTCAGTTCAATGCACAGAGGTGCGGCATATAAAAGCAATAACTTGCAAAGAGAGTCTCTCTGTCGCTCTCCCCCTCTTTCTCTCCCACCACCTTTATTGGGAGGAAAGGAGGGAGGTAATCACTAATCCGTGCATACTTTTATCTGCATGCATGCATATATATATATATATACACGCATGCAGCAAAGCTGAGTTGAAATCCCTGCTAAGAGATGACATGGAGAGAGCAGTCAGTCTCTCTCCCACCTCCCCCAGGATGGGTTTTCAGCTACATTTGGCTCCCATGCCCTTCTGAGGTTGTCACCCGACCAAAGGTTGATTTGGCACACACAGCCTTATGGATTCCTTCCCTTCCGCCCCCTGCCCCCGCCCCACTTCTCTTCTTTCTGCACACTTCACTTAGCACATCACTGTCCACCTGACAACTCTGCAAAATCCCCTTGACTGCTTGTCTGGCCGTATCTGGTTGGGGTGTGTGTGTGTGTGTGTGTGTGTGTGTGTGTATAAAGGCTATTATCAAGGATGTGGCAAGTTAAGGACATAAGGGCTTGAAGGGAGGGGGTAGCTCAAGACGCATGGAAATAAACCCTCAAAAGTTTTAGAAGTGGGATGCTGCCCCATTGTAATTTCAGTTCAAGCTGCAAGTCAAGCAAGGCTCTGGTGGTTTCTCAAATTTAGCCCTTCAGTAATCCCGATGCCCCTTTGCAGAGCAATCCTGCTAAGAAGCAAGTGTACTGAGTTCATTGGAAGTGCACCAGAATACTTCATTTTGATGGAGCTCAGTCCATACAAGTGAATAAGTGTGCTTAGTCTCCCTTGTTGACTCTTCTCTTGTTTCCACTGTTCTGTCGAGCTGGGTGTTGCCTTTTCAGCAAGGAATAAGTAAGATATCTGGTGGGAAAGGGACTGTGAAGGCACTTTCTGCTCTTCTTCCAATATCCTAATGACCTCCAGATTTCAAGTACATAGCATACTTGGGCTTTCAACAAGCTTTTGGTAAAGTATCTCATGAAAGACTCCTAAGTTTTGCAGTCCTGAAATTAGAGATGAGGTCTTCTTGTGGATCGTGAATTGGCTAAGTTTCAGGAAGCAGAAATAAATTGACAGCTCTCTAAATGAAGGGGTCTAGAAAGTGGGGATGCTCAAAGATCAGTATTGGGACCTCTGCTTCTCAACTTGTTTGAAAATGATCTAAAGTGAGCAGTGAAGTGGTCTGGTTTGCTGATGACAACAACACTGAACAGGGCTCTTAGAACAAAAAGAGATTGTGAAGAGCTCCAGAAAGACCTCTCCAAACAAAGTGAATGGGATGCAAAATGGCAAATGTAACTCAATGTGAACACATGTAAAGAGATGCATGTAGGGCAAAAGAAAAAAGTTCTTAATATCACATATGTGCTCATGGGATCTGAGCTGGGAATGACTGACCAGGAACGAGACCTTGGTGTCATAATGGATAGCTCAGTGTCATAATGTTGTCCCAGTGTACGGCAGCTGTGAAAAAGGCAAATTCCATGCTCAGGATCATTGGGAAAGGAATTGAAAATAAAGCAACCACTATCATAATGCCATTATACAAATCTATGGTGCGACCATATTTGGAATAATGTGTACACTTCTAATCACCTCGCCTCAAAAAGGATATTGTAAAGTTGGAAAGGGGTGACCAATATTATCAAAGGGATGGAACAACTTCCTTATGAGCAAAGGTTGCAGCATTTGAGACTTCTTACTTTAAAGAAAAGGTGAGTAAGTGGAGACATGACGGCAGTTTATAAAACTATGCAGAGTATGGATAAAGGGGGCAGAGAATTTTCTTTTTCTCCCTCTCTTGGAACACTAGAATCTGTGGGCATCTAAAGAAGCTTAATGTTTAAAGATGCAGGGCAGAAAAAAGAAAGTACTTCTTCATGCAATACGCAGTTAAACTATGGAACTCATTCCCACAAGATGGTTACCCACTAGGATGGCTCTAAAGAGGATTAGACACATTCATGAAGGATAAGGTGATCAATGACTACTAGCCAGGATGCCTATACTATGCTTGCATGATTGAAAGCAGAAATGTTTCTGTATACCAGTTACTGGAAGCCTCTGGAGAGGACAGTGCTGCTGAACTCAGGTCCTGGTTGTGGGCAGTGGTGGAGGAAGGGGGTGCGGTCCGCCCCAGGTGTCATCCCTGGGTGGGGTGTGACATTGCCACGCCCCCAGACTCTCACCATGGGCGGCGCACTCTCCAGACGATCACCGCAAGCAGCGCACCCCCCCAGACAATCATCGCAGGCAGCACCTCCTGATGTTCGCCGCAGGTAGTACACACTCCCAACGATTGCCACAGGCAGCGCCCACCTCCGCATGTGGCTAGCCCCACCCCCGCCGCTCCAGGTTGCCGGAGCAGCTAGCTCCGCCTCTGCTTGTGGGTTTCCGATGGGCAGCCTGGCAAGAACAGGATGCTGGCCTCGGTGGGCCACTGGCCTGATCTAGAATACTCTTCTTCAAGTTCTTAAGAATCGACGTCAAGGTCCTCTTCAGCTGACTGGTTGCTCCTGTTAGAATGAGAATTGAGACTGACATTTGAATTGTTTCTGAATACGTTGGTGTGCATGTGTGAAAGACAGCAGTGGTGTTTTTAAAATGGGTTTTGTTGGCTGATACCCATTCAGGAAGGTGAATTTACAATTCCATTTCAAATTACATTGTGTTGCCTGCAAACAGATGTTTTAGTCTTCCTTCCAGTATGCCTGCCCCCATTCAGTAGGACATATGAATGTGTTGAATGCGATTTTCCATTCTGAGCCAGAGAAGAATTTCCAGGAGAAATGGTGTGTGACGTGCAATATAGCCAAGCATTATGAACTGGTAAATTGGTGTTTCGAACCAGGTAACAGAATCTTGTGACAGCTGTAGACACAACCAATCACACACAGTGACTGAGGTGCAATGTGACTCTCTTGCCTGATTCCTGTTTATTTTGTATGAACGTGCCATATGGCACTTCCATTGCCACCTCCCCTTTCTGGACTCTGGTGAAATTGATAATTGATACTTTCTTCCCATTGAACTGATAAGATTGAGGGAAAGTCTTATACATTTCACCAGAAGCATGTGTTTTTTTCACCAGACATGGTGTGCACAGACATGTATGCAGTACATTGTCTTGGCTGCAGAAGTAAATCTGTCTTCAGAACTGAAGCAGCATTGCCGGTTGGGAGGGGAGGAGAAATAGGCTTTGCTGCAATGGATCCCAGCACCACTTGGCTCTAGCCACCTCCTCATCCCTTGCAGCAGTGCCTTCCAGCTTGCTTATGCATCCTGAAGCTGGTGATGGGGCACAGCTGGTGCCCCTGTGCATGTCAAGAGAGCTGTAGAGGATGTGACAGATCTGGATTCCAAGGAGTATGCCACAGCTGCCTCAGCCATGAAGGTGGCAGGCAATGTGTTCCTTGGAGGCTGGATCTGCCACCCCTGTGGCTCCTGCCACCCGAAGCAGTCACTTCACATTGTCTCATGGTTGGGCCGGCCCTGGATGTAAGTGCAGTTCGGACATCACAGATCTTGGGCTGTGAATGTAGTAATTAGCTATATGTGGGAAAGGACATAGGCACCATAAGGGAGCATTTCCATCTTTGCAATTACAATGACAGATTTTACTAGGCCAATAAAAAAGCCCCAAAGCCTGAAGGTAAATGCAGTCTACACAGAGAGAGGCCTGGATAGGGTCTGTGTTAGGAAGGCCATCCTTGATTTGCTTTATTTCAATGCTGTCGCTGCTCTTAGGTTTAGGTTTTAAAATACCACATATTTTGAAGTTCCATCAAGGTCGCTGAGTAAGGATGGAGGAGAAATTCAACTTGGTTTACCTTTCAATTTGCATTTCCTGAAATTATATGGAATCTGAAACACAGCTATCATTCAAAATTCACAGTTCTCCAAATTTTGCAGCACGTTTCTCCAACCAAAAAAAATGTGTATATCAGGAGAAAGCATGAAGCAAAATGCATATATTGGTGGAAACAGCATACAAACATGCAATATGTTCAATGAACTTTTAAATGCAAAAATGTATATACTGGGCTAAACTGCATTCACAAAT